CCCCCCCCCCCCCCCCCCCCCAAGTGTGTGTGAGTGTGATCTGTTTTATAAATACCCTTCATACTAGTCCTTAGTTTTCAAGTAAGAAATGTATTTTTCCAAATACACCTTCCTCGAGAATTCGACCCCTTATTACTACTATACTACCTTTTATTAATTTAGTGGTTTCAAAATGGTATTAGATTTGTACACCCTGACGAGGTGTTAACAACCCGCCATTACCTTATGGAAAGTTCTGAGGAATGTTCGTTAAGTGAGAAGTTTTCTAGGATTAATTTTCTGGTGTTATACGCTTCATTGAAGGCTTTTCCTTGATTGCAACTCCACTAAACAAACTTCTAAGGAAAGATGTGAAATTCGCATGGACTGACGCATGCCAGCAAAGTTTCGAAAAACTTAAGAAATGTCTGACAGAAGCGTCTGTACTGACACAACCAGTACCAAGTGTAGACAATACAATCTTTAGTGATGCATCTCATAATGGCTTGGGATGTTACTTATGAAATACGGTAATGTAGTGGCATACGCATCAAGGCAAATGAAGCCCCGTGAAAGTAACTACCCCACCCATGATCTCGAGTTAGCAGCAGTCGTATTTGCTCTGAAGATTTGGCGTCATTATCTCTTTGGAGAGGCGACATATACTCACTGTAACACCCTAATCCGTCCAGGTCTGCAGCCCCTTTCAGACTAAAGTATTAACTTGGTAATCGTAAAATTTAAAACTTTTCAAACACTTTTATTTATCACAATAATAATTTTCATAACATACACAGTACGGAGTATTCAACAATATTGCGGAAGCTTAACAAATCATAATCACAAACATAATTCAAACCCATCACATCCATTCCGAGAATCTCGCCTCCGTCTGCCTCCAGGATCATGTCACATCATTCTTTCTATTAACCTGCGTGTAGCATATAAAACACAATACACGCTCAGCGGTGAAGCTAAGTAAGCATATCTAAAGCGTCGAACATCCACATAAATTGAATCTCAATTCACAAACAACCAATTGATATCATGCACACAATATATAATTCATGATATTCTCAATATTTCTATTTCAATATCTCAATATTCAACATTCATATTCAATATTCAATACTCAACAATATCCTTAAACTATGCTTACTCTAAGGCCAATCTTTTTTATGTTTACCAACTCTTAAACTAATTCTAGTTCAAGGTAATTTTATCCAACTCTTAAGCTAGGTCATTAGCTTAAGGTACATGTATTCCGATTGATTTACCAACTCTTAAACTAGCCTTCGCTTAAGGTACAAATCCAGAAAACCGAACAGTGGAATACTAACTGTCGGGTTGGGTGGTATCCCCAAACGAGTTCCTCTAGTTTGGTTTATGGATCCCGTACGTACGTTTTTACCCAAGGCCACCGAATATACATATCTATACTCGCAAGGCCCATTCTAATCGGAGGTCTATTTTAGAGGTCTTCTAGATAGCCTTAACAACTCTTTTTTTATCAATCCATTTATTTTAATTCTAGTTCAATATTTCATGAGCATCATTTTATTCAGAATAATCATTATCATTAATCCATAATAATCATGCATCATAATTATCAATTAACATAACATTCAAAACAATAGCAATTAGCGGTCTAACTTCGAGTTTAACACTCTAGATTACCGTCATGCATCATATAATGTTATTGGATTTGTTAAAACATCATTTTTATTTTCAAAAAACGTTTCCATATTGATCATATTTGTATGTCAAGAATATGTTTTAAAATAAATTTTCTGCATAAATTAATCGATTAAACGGAGATGGGAAATCAATTAATTGCTTCTGCCTTCAAATGTTTCAGTGGAACAGAGAGATAATCGATTAAGAAGGATGAAATAATCGATTAATATCTATTAACCGATTAAATTAGAATTCCTTAATCGATTAACGTAAATTAATTTATTAATCAACCATGAATTAATCTATTAATCTAAGTTAATCTATTAATCAATACGAATTAATCTATTAATCAAGATTAATCTATTCATCCATATGAATTAATCTATTAATCAAAATTAATCTATTAATCAACATGAATTAATCTATTAATCGATTAAATAGAATGAGTTAATCGATTAATGTCTTCTGTTCATCGTCTTCTTCCTCGGTCCATTTTTCGAAAATATCATTTTACTCGCCAAACTTCAATTAAATTATATAGGAATGTTCTCAAAGGTTCATGGATCATTTTACTACCATTAGTTCATGATTTTAACATCAAATTCAAGGTTTATGATTCTTGGTTCTTCAAACATGTCAAACACAAAACTCAACCAATTGACCATTTATGAACGTAAAAACAACCTACATGAACATTCTAGTCCTTAGATATATCTACGGGCTTACCTCGAAGCTTATTGAAGGTTTTGGAAATTTTCCGGTGAAACTTTCGGTGAGGTTAGTGGCTAGCTTCGGCGGTTTCAAACCAAATTGACAGCACCACTACACTCCTTACACTCTTAGGAACACTTAGGAAGAAGTTTGAAGATGAATGGTGAAGAAATGAGAGTTTTGCTCTCTCCTTATATAGGGAAGATGAAGAAGAAGGAAACAAAGTCTGAGTAGATGCTGCGTAGGAAATTCACGTTCTTCTTTCGGAGATAGTGCGACTTAATGAGACTCAGCACGTTACTCTCTGATTGGGACTAATTTGGCCCTAGTCGGGGTATACTTTTTGGTCCAACTTTCTCTGAATTGAAATCCGTTTGTACCGTTGCGATCGTGCAATTAAACTCTATCCAACGATATAATTTTTTACATTTATTTGTTATACTTTTTCTTACATCATATTTTTGGTGTTTGACTTTGACAAAGTCGAAAATTGATTTGTTTGACCTTTACTTAAAAAGGTGCTCATACTAAATTCATATTATTTATTCTCATGATTTATTTCAATAAATCATTTTAATGTTTACATCATAAACACATTATTCATTTATTACTGATTTTGGGTCTGTACTCAGGTTCCCAACCAAGATTACAGAATTAGTCAACATATTGGATTTATCTCTATGAGATTTATCTAGATTAAGATATTGGATATCAAGCACATATTATTTTAGCCCAAAGCCCAACAATAAATTATTTTAATCAAAACAAATTTCTTTAATTGAATAATTACTTATTAATAATTCTAGGGTATGTTTTGGGGCGTTACACTCACACAGACCACAAAAGTCAGAAATACATGTTGAATCAGAAAGAGTTGAACTTGAGGCAAAGAAGATGGCTTGAACTAATCAAGGATTACGACTGTTACATTGACTACCATCGTGGTAAGGCTAACGTAGTAGCCGATGCATTAAGTCGAAAGATAGTAGCCGAACTCCAAATCCAACAACCTCTCGAAAATGAGATTCATACGGCACAAAGACGTGACGAATAGAGTTTTAAGACATGTGAACTTGTCTCTAAGGAGGAGAGACAAGACTTCACTATGAATGATGGAATTTTGTTCTACCAGAATCGTTTGGTAGTTCCTAGTGGTGAAGTGAGAGAAGGTTTAATGCGTAAATCTCACGAAACCACGTATACCATGCATCCCGGTAGTAATAAAATGTTCCAAGATCTAAAAAAGACGTATTGGTGGCTCACGATGACACGTGAAATTTCAGAATTTACGACCCAATGTCTGACGTGTCAACAAGTCAAAGCTGAACATCAAGTGCCAAGTGGATTGTTGCATCCCCCTATCATTCCTGAATGGAAGTGGGAATGAATTACGATGGACTTCGTGATCCGACCTCCATTGTCAATCAAGAAGAATGATGCTATTTGGGTAATCGTTGACCGATTAACCAAGTCATCTCATTTTATACCAATACGACGTCATACGTCACTGAAAAGGTTGGCAGAATTGTATATCCGTGAGATCGTAAGATTACATGGTGTGCCCCTGTCTAACATCGCTGATCGTGACCCTCGATTCACGTAACAATTCTGGAAAATTCTGTAGAATGCACTAGGTACTAAACTCAACTTTAGTGCGGCATTTCACCCTCAAATAGACGGGCAATCTGAAAGAACAATCAAATCCTAGAAGATATGATGAGAGCATGTGTGATCGATTTTGGAAGCAACTGGGAACAATACTTACCTCTAATGGAGTTTGCTTATAACAACAGCTATCAAGCGACTATCCAAATGGCTTCGTACAAAGCCCTATATGGAAGCCCGGATTGGAACGGTTCAATCGGATTTCAATTTGGAGAAAGTTGGATAAAAAAGTATACCTCGCCTAGGACCAAAATTAGTTCCAATCACGGATGATGTATAAAAGTCTAGAAATGGTGGTGCTCCTTCCACTAACGTGAAATCGCCGAATAGCTACAGAGACTCTAATGGCCGTTTCCTCCTCTACTCCCTTATATAAGCAAACTCAATCTTCCTAATTTCTTCACCAAATCATCTTATTCATCCTTCTATTCTGTTGCTCTGAGTGAGGAGAACGTAGTGATGCTGTCAATTTTGTGACACCCGCCTTCCGCGGACCCGGTTCACCCGCGACCCGACGGACCGGTAGGGTTACATGAACAGTCCGAGAACCGTCCGTTACAAAAACGTTAATGATTACTTAATAAGAAAACGGTTACATTTAATTGATGGGATATTAATGACTATTTATTATGAAAACGTTTATGTTTAATTGGTGTAATGAATGCTAGGAGTTATATCCAAAACGTGAGTGATATAAATGCAGAGTAAAAGCGGAAGTAAATAAATAAGTAAAACGACAAATGGTGGGTTCATTCCCAAATGATTAATTAATTAAATGTATTTAATTATTGAACTTGTCCATGCGCCGCCCATCTTCCCACCATCACTGTCCTCTAGGGTTAGCACCCGCACCGTCATGTCTACCTGCGTGTAGCAAAAACAACTACACGCTCAGCATAAGCTGATGAGTGAATCTAACAAAAGAACATGAAGTGATAACCCATATGGTTATACACATATAAATACCTTTACTTAACGTATGGAAAACCACATATTTGCTAACTGATTAATTTGCACTTGATGGGATATTATTACACATAACAAAATGAATAACAACCACATTGAATGATGGTGTGATGTGGAACATACATGATGATGGCGACCACATTGAATGTTGACGTGACATGAGACATACATGATGACAATATGACTTGATGCATGACTTGAGCTATTAGGGACACCCCTGACTTAGTCTCACTTGACAGGATCACCCCTGCACTCCGGTAATGACCCGGGCTCGACAAAACGTCGCAAGTGAACTAGCAAAAACCGGGTGAAAGCCGTAGCCTGACTACCATGTACGTACACAAAGCCCACCTGATGAAAACCCGTTGGATCCCAAAGGTTCCTGGACGGGCCAACTGTAGTAGGCGCACGAAAGCCTGACCTCCCTACAGCGGAATGCACATGATGATCATCCTAGTACATGGGTCTAGAATGAAGATGATTAATGCTTGGTGTATTTACCTTTGGTCAACGCCAAGAATATATCAATAAACAACATACATAATGAAGATTAACGTTTCATGCAAACATACTATTAGATTCTGAGTCAATATGGTCAACGGAGTTCATTCTACAAACTGTCCGACAAACTGCCCGGGAAACGGTCGACCGTACCCTACCGGCGGTCGACCGTGAGCTACGTTATGGAGTTGTGGAAAGCCGACGGTCCACCCCGGTCTTCCGTCGCGGCCGGCGGTCGACCGCTACGGTGGTGGCCAACAGACGGTCAAAGGAAACGGTCCACCGTCCTTAGCGGCGGTCGACCGTCCCGTAGACAGTCCACTGACTTTGGCTTCGTTTTGATCCGTTTTGTGAACTTAACGCCTTGATTCTTTTTAGAACAACATTGTAAACATTTATGAATATATTCCTAGTGATTCCTAGGCCAATATATACGATTTTTACGTAGTGAACGTTTTGATGGCTAACCTACGAACATGCATAGATTCTACGTAGGTTGCGTACGATATTCCTATGAATATAACAACATAGATTATAACTTGATGTTCTAGAATTAGAGGGGACAACTACTCACCTCTAAATGAAGGGGTTGATAGACCGATGGAACGAGATGAACAAACGGTTGACAATGTTGAACGACGAATGGTTTCTCGTGGACACCTCCTTCCCCTCTCCCCTTCCTTCCTCCTCGTCTCAATGCCGGAACACCGCGTTTGCTACTGCTGCTTGGCCGAATACAATGGAGAAGATGAGAGAGTGGGGGAGTTATGGAGTGGGGGGTTACAAAATGTGGTAGTGAAATGGAGGGTGAAGGGGCTTATATTAAAAAAAGGAGTAATGAAGAGTAATGATGAGGAATGAATATGGGGAGAGGAATGGAGTGTGTGTGGCGTGGAGGAATGAGGGGAATTAAATGGGAGTTATCTCCCTAATTTCTACTCTGTTATGTTAAAATCTGACCTGAACGGTACGCGGTTTTTCCCCCGAACGGATCCAAATTGACTTCTGCTTGCGTTTTTGGAATCAGATAGTCAAAACGAATTTAATGACATGTTCAAATAATTTTTCTAAGAACTTTACTTTCAAACATCCGGGTCCACCCCAATCATTAATTAATTTATTTAATTAATGTTGAGAGGTCCATTATTAAAACATCTTTTTATAATTAAAATACATTAGCTTTGGAAATCCATTTGAAGAGATCGAAATCTCAATATTTATTAATTTAAAATAATGAGTTTCAATAAATAAAGAATATTTATTTATTTAAACCAGGCCGGTTTGTAGGGCGTTACATCTAGTGACTAGAATGTTCGTATAGATCGTTTCTACGTTCATACAGTCGTTTGGTTGAGTTTTGTGTTTGACATGTTTGAAGAACAAAGAATTATAAATCTTGAAATTATTGTTAAAACTATGAACTAATGATACCAAAATGATCTATGAACCTTGGAGAATATTTCTATATAGTTTAGTTGAAGTTTGATGACTAAAAATGATATTTTTGAAAATAGACCCGAGGAAGAAGATGATGAATAGTAATGGAATTCCTCCGGGTGACCGATCACCTAGGGTGGATCGATCACCTGAACTGATACATTTTAAAGTCCAAAAATGCTATTTTTGAAGCTATAAAATACAATTTTTGATATTAATCAATTATGATCAATGTAAATATGATTTATGGAAATAAATGTGATGTTTAGACAATTTCAAGAACCTTGTTTGATGCATGATGGTAAGCAAGGGTCTTAACACTCGACGCTAGGCCGCTATTTGTTAATTGATAATTGATTATGATGATTAAGCTTTGATGAATATTCTGAATAAAATGATGATTACGAATTGTTGAACTATGATTCAAAATAAATGGATTGATGAGAAATGAATTGTATTGTTAAGGCTATCTAGAAGACCTCTATGATAGACCTAAGATTAGAATAGGCCTTGCGGGTATAAATATGAACATTTGATGGCCTGGTTAAAAATGTACATACGGGATCCACAAATCAAACTTGAGGATCACTCGTTTGGGGATACCACCCAACCCGACAGTGAGCATTCCGTTGTTCGGTCTCTGGTGTACCTTAAGCGAAGGCTAGTTTAAGAGTTGGAAAATCTTTTTAAAAATTGTACCTTAAACTAGACTAGCTTAAGAGTTGGTTAGGAGTACCTTAAACTAGAATATAGTTTAAGAGTGGGTTAGGAGTATCTTAAACTAGAATATAGTTTAAGAGTTGGTTAGAAGTACCTTAAAATAGAATTAATTTGAGAATTGGTAAACATTAAATAGATTGGCCTTAGACTAAGAATAGTTTAAGGATATTTTTGATGAATATTGAATATGAATATGAGTGTTGAATATTGAATGTTGAATATTGATTATTGAATTTCTGAACTATACATTATGTGCATGATATGAAATGATTTTATTATGAATTGAGATTTAATTTATATGGATGTTAGACGCATTAGATATCCTTACTCAGCTTCACCGCTGAGCGTGTAGTATGTTTTATTTGCTACACGCAGGTAAAAAAAGAATAAAGTGACGTATTACTGGTGGAAAATGGGGTGAGATGGTCAGGATGGATGTGTGAATTGAAATTATTGTTTCAAAAGAAATAAAGCTATTATGTTTTGTAATTGTGATCTATTAAGCTTCTGCAACTTTAAATACTCCGTTATTATTCTGAATAATTTATTATGAAATAAAGTTTTAAAATGTTTGAAATATTTTAAATGTTTACGAAAACCTAGTTTATACTTTAGTCCGAAAGGGGCTGCAGAGCTGGATGGTTTAGGGTGTTACAATGGACATAATATTCAATTCAAATATTCAGTATTAATTCATATAAAATCATTTGATATCAAACACGTGCGATTCAATTCAAATTTTAAATATTCACTATATCAACAATGCTCCTAAACTATTCTTGGTCTGAGGCCAAATTCATATAAATAACTCACCGCTTAAACTATAATTAGTCTAAGGAAAATATTTCTAACCAGGCTCTTAAATTATAATTAGTTTAAGGCAGAATTGAAGAATCGATGACCCATCCTACAAGTCTTATGGGTCACGCTCAAAACCGAACAGCGAACTAGTCACCGTCAGGTTGGGTGGTACCGTTAAAGGAGTAGGTACTCAAGTTTGGTTTCCCATACATCCATTTTAACCCTGGCAACTGGACATCATACCCGCAAGGCCTAACTAAATTGCTCACATGGGTATATCTTAGAGTTGTTCTAGATGCCCTTAAAAATCAATGTCATTTTCATAATCATTATTTAAATTAGGATATTTGTATTTTTAATCATGGTTCAATCGTCATAATCAATAATCAATAACAACATTGTAATATTTCATAACAAACATCATCCTAGCAACGAGTGTTAACACCCTAGCTTACCGTCATGCATCAGACAAAATTATGGATTTATTAAAACATGATATTTGATTTGGAAATGATATTCGTACTGATTTATAAATGAATGGTATCAAAAATAAGATTTTACAGTTCAAAAATCAGGTTTGTGGAAAATTTCTGGGTTTAGAAGGTATCACTTACTGTACCTCGGTACCGGTACATGGTACCTAGTATCATTCCGGCAGTATGGGGTACCACTTGGTGGTTGATACCGCTAGAGGAAATTGCATTGAGGCAATATCGTCCTATCGTTACTAACGGTTTGGCCTACCGTTCAGGCGGTACCTAGGTATGGTCTAGGCGGTAGCTCGATATCGTTTCCGCGCGAAGTTTAAACAGTGTCGTCTTCAACCTCGTGTTAATCTTCGAAAGCTTCATTTTTATCCGTCAAACTTCAATTAAACTATCTAGAAATGTTCTCCAAAGTTCATAGATCATTTTGGGATCATTAATTTGAAGTTTTAACAACAATTTCAAGGTTTATGATTTTTTATTCTTCAAACATGTTAAACACAAAACTCAACCAAATGACCGTTTATGAACGTAGAAACGATCTATATGAACATTCTAATCACTAGATATATCTAAGGGCTTACTTCGGGCTTAAACAGAGGTTTTTAAATTTTTCAACGAAACTTCTAACGAACACTACAGCTTCTCCTAACGACCTCAAGATCTCATGTCAGCACCATTGCATTCTCCACACTCACAAGAACAGAATAGAAGATGAAGGAAAGGATTTGGGGAAGAAATGACATAATTGATCTCTCTTACATTGGGGAAGAATGAGGATGGAGCCAAGCATGGTAGCGTCACTTTTGATCAGGAAATCACATAATGGAGGAGGCTGCACCGATTGAAGATTCACGCGACTCTTTCCTGATTGGGACTAATTTTTTATCCCAATCGGGGTATACTTTTTGGTCAAACTCTCTCCGAATTAAATTCTAATTGTATCATTGCGATCAGACAATCAAACTCTCCATAACGGTATAATTTTTATATTTATTTGAAATACTTTTTCTCACATCATATTTTTAGGTGTTTGTCTTGACACAGAGATGCTAATTTTTGTTAACGCACCAACACTTTGTGTCAGTGTAAATTCTTGTTAACGCACCAACACTTTGTGTCAGTGTGAACCATGAAAATGTTGGTGTATACTGATGGTGTAAATATAGCGGGGTGGGTTAACCGGGTTTGACCTGGACACACTTGACCCGTAATATAAAACACACAACAAGAACACAAAATATGACCTAGACCGGGTAAATCTCCTCAGTCCGAATTATATTTCTTACTCTATCTCCAGAGTGAACTTTAGCTAGAGAAAAATTGGATCCCCTCCTCTATCCAATATCATCATATTTATAGAGGAGGATTTGTGACCTTCCCCTGTTCATCCATGGACAAAATAGGAAACCCGGAAGAAGGTCACTGTACATAATCAATCTACTATTCAATTAATAAATTTAGCAACTACTTCCTCTGTCCACTATAGATCTTCCCAATAGCCCTTTTTCTTTGTCCACAATAGATCTTCTCATTTCATTTTTTAACAAGTAAAATACCACAACTACCCCCACTTACTTTATTTATTACACCTCACACACCTCATTTAATACACTCCACCCATTTTTCATTAAGGGTATTATGGTAAACTTTCACCTTTTTTCAACTCTCCTTAAAAACCACCAAAAGTCAAATGAGAACATCTTAGGCGGACGGAGGGAGTATAAGACAAGACATGTACTGTTCAATCAAAGACTATAAATGGATATTCTCAATCCAATCAGCCCTCCAAAATGACAAACATTCCTTTCACTGTTTGCCTCGTGATGGACGAACGGCAGGGTGGTCCCTCGATCTTTGACGTGGTTCACCATGCCTGAGATACTGGACCAATGTTTGCAAAGTAAAGTGACATGACCGGTCACCTTCTCTCAAAGGTTACCCGGTCATTCTTTGCGCTCAACCCGTCTCTGGTCTTCCGGAAGATCCTTCGTAATATAAGGTGATATTTTGGCTTTCGCCCAAAATGTGACCGGTCACTTTCTCAAGGAAAGTGACCGGTCAACTTTTGACCTGTAACACCCTAATCCGTCCAGGTCTGCAGCCCCATTCGGACTAAAGTATTTAACTTGGTAATCGTAAAAATTTAAAACTTTTCAAACACACTTTATTAATCTCAATAATATTTTTCATAACATATCCAGAAAGGAGTATTCAACAATATTGTGGAAGCGATTTTAATATTGACATATCATAAATTGTTTCAAAACTTGTCACATCCATCCCGACAATCTCGCCCCATCTGCCGCCGGGATCACATTATGCTTTCTGCTTACCTGCGTGTAGCGAATAAAACACACTACACGCTCAGCGGTAAAGCTGAGTAAGCATATCTAATGTGTCGAACATCCATATAAATTGAATCTAAATTCA